AATGACAATGTAAACAATTTACCTGAATATACTCTGTGAGAGTATTAAAGACCTGTTTTGCAACTTGAATTGCTTTGGAGAAATTACGTTGTCCTTGCTCATCAATAACATCCTTCCCAGAATAATACCAGTAGAAATCACTAATCGATTCCTATAAAACAGATGAAATAGCACATAACACAGATCACATATATACACAAATTATCTGCCTCTCCTTAGTTCTATAGTATTATTCTGAAGCAAATTTTAAGAGTAAGCTTTGGGTGTGAAGAAGTGTTTGCTACAGCTAGTCTAGGTTTTGATGGCTTGCTTTAAGCCACCAAAACCTAAACCATGAGCACTGTGTACAGCTGCTCACCACTGTCAGGAGTAGGGGGATAGGGGAGAGGGGTGGGGCTGGCAGGTCTGCTTGGTCAGAGAAGAGAGTTGGGGGGGGCTGAAAATAGCTCGTCGGGGGTGGGAACAGCACAGCTATGGGGCTAGAGTAAGTGGCCAGGCTTTTCTAGACCTGGGGCTGTGCTGTAAATGGATGCAGACATTTGCAAGATTGGGTTAACCCCTTACTAGACTGAGTTAATCCTTTCTCGATTTAAGTTTGCACACCTTCTGAGGTGCACTAACTTAAATTGGGTGTGCCACCTTTTGGCCAAATTAAACTCTCTGAACACCTATGTAAGTGAGCATTTAGATCCAGGGTTAGGTCAATCTAAATATAATGTATGTACCCTTTGATGGGAGCAAAGTTCCCCTTATATTTCTATTCACATGGATTTAAAATCATCCTATAGACACTCTTGGGTATCATCAACATAATGCATTTTCTACCTCATTTCCAAAGGAACCCACAGAAAAAAAAGGAAACACAAATTTAGCTTTTGACTAGATTAGCTGGACTTTCTTTACTCCAATTCTATAGTCTGACTTCTTAAACTAGGTTAGTCATCAGAAACACAAAACTAAAAGGTGTCTTCGAACCATGTGCATTTACACTGTTTGCTCGGCACCTCACTAAGAATTCCCAGGGAATGGATTCGTCCTTCCATTTCTTCCAAAGAAAGCCAATTTTTTATTTAATCAAAAAGTAATTACACAATAGGAAAAGTTTATTTTCATTATGATTACAAATGTCCCTACAGCTTCTACTGAATGTATTGGTCCATAACAGTAAGCTGGTAACAACAGTGGCAGCAACTGAAAAATGATTGATTTTTGCATTCTGGACTTTTTAGAAACAATAAATAAAAGTTGAAAAGGACAATTTAATTGGCTAAATAAAAAAAAAAGTGTGCGCTGTGCAGTGAAGTGGATGTCAGACAGGTGAGACAAACAGGTGAAATGATGAATATGTTTACTAAAAACAGACTGTTATGTGCTTCATACACTTGGTTCAGAAAATGAATTAGATACTTTCATTACCTTCTGATGTGCTATGACAATGTAGAGTTTTCATATTTAAAGAACAACAAAAGAATTAATGCTGCAGGGTTCAGGTTTCTTAGATCATGTCTTGTGTTTTTCAGCAATTTAAAAAGCAGGCAGTTGTACATCAGGGTGCTTACAGGTGGATACAATCAAGAGATTCATTCATTGGAATCATTCTTATCACAGTCCTGACTGCCCTTTTGCCCATAAACCCCCGAGAAACAAGATTTTGATAGCATCACTTGAAATGAAAGTTAATGATAAAAAGTACCTCAGAAGATCCATGAGAAAAAGTACTGTGGACCACAATGAAAGTATCTGTAATAACTATTACTGATGAAATTGGAGAATTAAAAGAGGTGTATTTCAGTGTACAATCCTTTAAATTTCCCTAAAGACTTTCAAAGAAGTACTCTAAGGATGCCCTTATGTAAATTATATTTTGTAGTGAATACTGATGCCACTCAGTGTCCCAATTTTTTCATTCAGAGCTGGATAAAAAAGTGTTATGTATTTGGGACAGAACATGAGATTCCTCAGTCTGAGTAAATGTTCCACTCACCTTTGTGAGCTTTTTTCCAGAAACATTATAGCTTCAGAAATGTATATAAATGTTTCTTTTGGAAATGCACCTTTGGCTTAAATTAAATTTGTGAGAGCAACAAATAAGGAATGTTCCCTGAGCCGGTTATCAGGGTGCATTTCTGTTCCCACAACTTTGGATAAATTGGAAGGAACTGACTATATGGTCTAAGATTTCTCAAAAGGATGACAGATTGTATCAGTTACTGATACATCAGTTATTATTCAGTTACTAGCACTCTTTTCTTGCTGCCCAAGAGATGATGCTGACATTGTTAATTTGGTGAATATTTTGTGCTACAAGAAGGCTAAAAGGTAGGGGCAATGTAAGTTAGAGTCATATGGAATTTGATCTTTCTGACACAAGTGTGCAGTTTCCTCAAGCCTGTGATGTGATAAAAGCAGTAATGCCTTTGGTAGAAGGTTTGTATTCCCTTTATTTATTTAGGTATGTAGTTCTTCTATAGTTCCCATTTTTAATAAGGAAAAGAGAAAATAATACTGCCACCTCCTGGACACTACATGCAGCATTATTTTCTCTTTTCCCCAACACAGACTCCTGTTTAATGGCCTAGTAATGAAAGGTGCTATGATTTTACGATAGGAAGTATCACAGAAGGATCTGAAGGAAAGAACCTGTTTGTGTATTTGAACTGTATTATCTTGAGCATTCCACAACCTACATCAACTCCACATCATGATAAAATGAGGCAAACAATTATAAAAAGAAGGGCAGGAGAAAAGAAAAAAAACGCAGGTTATGACTGAGCAATGAAAGATGAAGGCTGGTTAGGTGCCCGGGAGCAACAGACAACCTTGGCTTTTGTTTAAAGAAGGGTTTTTAACCATGTTGCCCTCAGAGCCATCTGGCCTAACAGGCTACCAAAATTGGGGGGGTTGTCCAGCATCGGGGTGGCTTAGCATAGAATCCAGGGCCCCTGGGCCCTGGTGGACATGACCATCAGTAGCAGGAGGGCAAGAAAGCTGTGCTTCGCTCACCCTAGGGTCACTGGTCCCACTACCTCTTGCCCTACTGCTGCCAGTCCTCTTACAGCAGTCACCATCCCTGCCACTGCCCCTGCCAGTCCTGCTGCTACTGTCCCATGTCCCAGGTTGGATCCCATCTATGAAAGAGCCCCACAGTCTGGATCGGGCCCAAAGCATGGCGTAAGTTTCACACTCCTAGTTTAAGGATCCCCTTTTTCATATTAAGATCTTCCTCAGTGTTGTGTGTGGATTTTGCAATATAGAAGTAAGGCCATTTCTTTTACCTTTAACCTCAATACATAGAAGCGGACACAGCACGTACTAGATGGGTGAAAGGAGAAGTGCTGTGTAAGGGCTACTGATAAGATATAAAACTAGCTGAATCTGGTCAACAAGGAACCTTGAAAGAGGTACAAGGACTGTTTTTCTAGTGAAGCAGACTACTTGGCAAGAGTGTATAGAGCATGCAATCACGAGGGTTAAACTTCAGTGTTCACATGCACAGTGCCACCTGATTGGATAGAGTAGTAGTTTAGGTAGCACATGATTGGGTATTTTCGCAAGCACGAGCCAATGCTAATGTACTAACTAAGGTATAAAAGAAAATTATATCTAATAGGCGGGGTCCCTCCTCGGAGGCACCTCGCTGCAGCAAATAAAGTCTCTATATCTGATTCTGGGTGTCTGCTCTGTGTGATCATTGCCCCAGCCTAGAGTGAACTGCACGTGGCTTAGAGAGTGTAATTCGTAACACTCAGTAAGACCTCTTAGCCAGATTCTCCCTCCAATCTCATGAAGGTCAGTGGGGAAAAAGAAAATCAGGTGAAGGGAACTACTTCTGCAGAAAACAAAATAATTCCAGAAATTGCACCGTAAGTCTGGTTTCTTCTTCAAAATGCCATTGATTGGTAATTTCCCAGACTTCCCAAACTAACAAACCATTGCTATTAAAGGAAAGATATTGTACACTGGACTGAGCCTCTCAAATCTAGATCTTTTAAACCAAGAAGTTTTGTCGATGTATCTACATCATTTAGAGGCATAGCTACAATCCCACGAACCTCTTGCTGAAGCCTTCTTCTACCCTGTTTTTGCTTCTCAGGGAGATGACTGAGTAAAGGGAATATTAAGTGCAGAAAGCCAGAATTGACATCAGACCAGCTCAGAAAACCTGTTTCATATCATCTAACTAGTTTCTTCATAAGCTATATCATAGACAGTCAAATGTAGGAGTATTGTGAAGAAAATACATGCCTAATATTGACTTTGTCCTTTTACAAGCAAAGCAAAACAAAATATACTTATTGCTAGCCATACTCGATATATGCAATTTTAAAAAAGCCATTTATTTAAATTCAATTAATATAGAAACCAAGTTACCTGAACTCTCAGTAAGTAGTCCACAGTAGAGATGATAATATTGACAGTTGTGTTGTTGCCAGTCTGAGTTCTCAAATAATTCTGAAAATCTAAAAATGTGATGAGTTAGTTAACAATTATTTAAATCTCAAAAAATCACAGACTTACTCATTCTAATTAATTGTGATAACATTCATTGGTAAAATTTTAATTTAAATGATGAAACATCTTTTAAACTTCTTTCCTGTTTACATGCATGTTTTAATCCAGTGAATAGTTTATATCTTCTTAAGTGACATCACTTAACTGAGGACAGCGTGTGTGGCAGAAGTGTTAGTACCTTGTTTCTCCTGTGAACCTAGCATAAAAATGATATTGACCTTACCAACTGTATAACAGCAAGACTCAATTAACTTCAGCGGAGTTACTCCTGATTTACTTATGTAAATGAGAACAAAATCTAGTTGCATCATTATCACATTCTTGATGACAATTATATCAATATGTTCAACATCCACAAACTGATTTTTTATATCATCATTGAGTATATGAGTGTATTTAAAATTACATTAAAAAAAAATAATTGGTGTATTTTCTGTCTTTTATATGTGGTGAAATGCTGTTCTTTCTTCAACAAAAATCTCCCATATGCTCTTTGGGTAATGTTTAACCCTCTAAATCACCTTCTGTGACGAACACAGCCTTGCATACATGGTCAGGTTAAGTCCACACCATTCTCAGATGGTGCTAGGGAATGTTGCCACTAAAACAGGGCCTGCCCACTCACTCTCATACCACATACACCAGATAAAGAAACAAATTTATAGGGCCACTATCCTGAGCACGCTCACAACACAGTGGTTCTGGCCATAGGCCATGCCGAACAGTCTCTATTTATCATTTTTTCAGCACCTTAGCATTTGCAGAGCTAGAGCTGGGTGACTGACAAGATTCCTAGAGTTGTTCTGCAACCAGAGGTAGAGTTTGTTTTCTATTTATTTTATCTTTCATATAGATTGGGGTGGGCAATTATTTGGGCCCAAGGGCCACATAGAGAGCTTTGATCAGTTGTGCTGGGCCAGGTCAGCACTCCCCCATCCCTTGCCACCACAACTCCTCACCATAACTCCCTAAGTGGGATAGGGGCATGGGTGGGTGGGGAGCGGTATTGAGGAGTGGGACAGGTGGGTGAGGCAAGAAACGTGTGGCAGGGTCATAGGGCAGTGACAGCATGGGGCCAGGGCTTCAGGCAGAGCCATGATCCCTGCATGCCCCTGCCCTATGGGGGGTGGGTGTGGGTGGGGTGTCTGGGGTCAGGGC